TTCAGTCATGTCCATGTCACAAGGCTTCATCCCACAAGGTAGCTCCCAATTAAAACAGTGAACCAGCTGGGCTATCACCATTTTAACTATAGTCAGACCCAATTGGATCCCAGGACATTTTCTGCGACCCGACCCAAATGGTATAAGTTGAAAATGATTTCCTTGAAGGTCAACATTGCCATTCAAAAACCTCTCTGGATAAAACATGTGGGCATCATCAGTCCATGTCTTAACATCTCGTCCTATTGCCCAATTATTCACCATGATTCGTGTGTTCTGCCGTATGTAGTAACCATCAACCATAATATCCCGTGTTGATTTTCGAGGGATGAATATTCCCGCGGGAAAGAGTCTTAAAGTCTCCTTCACCACCATATCCAAATAGTTCAACTTTGATATGTCAGCTTCTTCCACCATTCTATCCATTCCTACCACAGTTTCAAGCTCGTCTTGCAACTTCTTCATCACCCTCGGATCTCTCAAGAGTTCAGATAAAGCCCAATTGATGGTCGAAGCCGTGGTTTCGAATGAAGCAAAAATGATCTCTAATGCAGTACCTTTGATGTTGTGACGAGTGATCACAAAGTTTTGTTCATCATCATTCAAGGGTTGGTGCATCAGTGAGAGTAATATGTCTACCAAGTCATCGTTCTGCTTACCTCTTCGTTCATTAAAAGCTTGCTCATGCTCCTTCAATATTTTCTCCAACACTTCATCAAGTGCTTCACTGGTTTCCTTCAACTGTCGTGTTATTCCCTGACATTCATAGATTTGAGATGACAAACAAGAGATAATGAACTAAGAAACGTATGTTTTTGGGGCCAACAAGCATAATAACGTGTGTTAATTTGTAATTCCAGTCACATATAAAATAAAACTTGTGTGTTTTTTTTAATACCTGAAGATCAAAAGCTCCTAATGTAGGCACAAAATCTGCAAGATTAAAAGCTCCACCCAATCTCATAGCCTTGGAAACGAGGCCTTTCAAATCAAACTGGTCATCCCTATTTCGTCCCAATATCATCTTATAAACTATATCTTCAAGAAGCGTATTCACTTTCTCAGTAACATTCACAACTTCACCCACTGTAGCAGCATTCCCCATTGACTTGACCACCATTCTTACCTCCTCCCTCCTAAGAGGACCAAACAACTCTTGCTTTGAAGCACTTAAAGGGTGTAAAGTGCACAGTTTCTTCATGTTGCGCCAGTATGAGCCATACTCAGAAAAAGCCATGCCCTGGCTGCCATAGAAAATGTAATCAGTGGCTTGATTTTGAGGTCGGCTAGCGAAAGCAGGGTCGTGGGTCTTAAGGAATAGTTCAGCAGCTTCAGGAGAGGAAACCACAATGGCTTGGACCTGCCCCAGCCACAAGGACATGACGGGTCCGTATTTGTTGGCCAGAGATTGAAGGTTGCGATGTGGAAGTGTGCCCAACAAGTGCATGTTGCCAATAATGGGGAGAGCCAGAGGACCTATTGATGTATAGAAAGTGAAAGAGAAATATGAATACTGACTAAAATTAAAATTAATAATTCCAATGAGAAATACCTGGAGGACGTTTCCGAGCATCTTTACTGTGATTATTCCAACGCAAGAAGATAGAAAGAACGTAAATGAATGTCAGAAGGAGGAATGCGGGAATGGCTACTGTTGAAAGAAACATGCTTAATTGATCTGTGATTTGCAATGGAGAAATGGAGGATTTGACGGGGTGATCAACAAATAAAGTATATAAAAAGTATATAATAGTGATTTATAGTGACTCAGCATTGGATCCTCTTTATTTTTGAGGAGCAATAATAGAATGCCCCATTTGCCTTTCCCACTACAGAGAAGATAGGATGGACCCACCTGAGATCTCATTCGGTGAAGTGCATTATATTTTTTTAAGGCTGAAGTGAGGTGCTTTCTCTTAATAAGTTAATGGAGAAGGGAGAAAGCGTGTAACGCCGAAGGGGTAACGTCCCATCATTTTGAGACAAATGCTGAAATGATTTATCCATTTTATTTGTAAGATTTGTTTATTCTTCTGATGGAATCATCTGATCTTATCCCTACTTGATGTGATCTTGTTGGCACTCTAATTCCGAGAAGAGATCAACCCATCCCCCCAGGGGGTGCGGTGATCCAGAAATACTCTAAAAATTTAAACGGATAGGGATACTTAATAGGCCAGAATTCATAAAAGCTTTTGTCAACCAAGAAATCAATCATGGAACTAATCAAAACTTGATAACAAGTTTATATGTCTAAAACTCTCACGAATCAGATGACAATATGTAGTTTTCTTAATTGTTCTTAAAATCCAAGCTCAAGTACAATGTAGGCATATTCCGCATCAGAAAATGCCAGAGAGAAGATTTGCGGCTGTGGAGATGGCAGCTCCAGTAATAGCACACTGCACAATCTGTTCATGAGAAGAATCATCCAATGTAAGTGCGAGTGCTGCCCCAGTGATGGCTCCCGCCACTGCACTGTTTTTCTGCATCAAACACAGTTCATGATTATTCTGAATCATTTTGGTGAATTCCAGAAACAAAACAATCTGCAGCCAAGCTAAGGAAAATCTTCATGCCTGAAACAATGCGACATACTTAATTCTTGTCATTTGTTCATTTTAAATGTGGTCCATATAAAAAGGGCCCTTAGCTTTATTTATATGAGATCTTGAAATTTTAGCGCAGTGGTAAAGCTCTTGATCCAAGCAAAGGCCCAGTAAATTAGCGACCAGAACATCGACTTTCCTTTTTTTTTTTTTGGAATAAAAAGAGCTGTGTTTTAAAGTCCAGTTGTGTTACCCAATCATGAGCTCCACGAGCCTCCTTCAGACCATATGTGAGACCTGAATACATTCCTGCAGCCAAACCTGCATGTTGGGAGGAGAATTTGTTAAGATTCAGAATAGCCCAGTCATCCGAGAGATAAACATCATGAGCATGGGAAACTAACAAACATAGATTTATCTGTTTCAAAAATATTATTTTACTCACAAATGAACACATGTATTCTTTTGTAATTTCAATGTTCATAGAAGAATGAAAGTTTATTGTAGGTTAAGAAAGTATATCATTACCCCATTGTAAGGACTCTTTTCCAGTATTTTTCACCTGATCAGAAGAATAAAGGAAACACTAAGTAGCAGGAATTCCATGATTAAAAAAATGACAGAAGAGTTAACTGTTTATAGTTAAGCTCAATTATATTTGAAAGTTCAATTTTAGAACACTAAGACAAAAATAAAAGGCCTTGAAATGGTCATGTGGCAAAACTTCAAAGTTTACGTGAAATCTCACCATGGCCTCAAGAGATTTACTGCTGGTCTCTCCTGCATTTACGAAACAAAGGTTCACTCAACATTGTTTTCAAACTTGTCAAAAGAAATATAAAATGACATCATATCACAAAAACAATATCTCCTCTCCTGTCTAAGATACCTCTGAGACCTGGAAGACCATTTTTATTGGCACCAGGTAGGACTTCTGGTGGTAGACCGTCATTATTATCAAGCCCAGCACCTAAAAATCCATACAGACATGTAAATACTAAATTGTACCATCAAGTTTCCACTTACACACGCCTGTGCCCCCTGATAGAGTTTTGCATTAATCAGAGCAAAAAATTTATAACTTCACCAAAATAGCTTAAGATGGACTCAATGCTTTCTTACATAGTTTTGATTAGATCACAAAATGTAGATTTTCTCATACATCTAGTATTTTCTTTACCATTTTTCTTTCTTTAATCTCAATTCTCTCTGCTATTATGGATCATATAATAAAAGAAAAGTTTAATGAGGAATCATTAGCGAACCTTCAATGGTCATAAAGAAAGCTTCGCGGGACAGCGCTTGGACGGCTCCTATCTGGTAAACACACATCCACTACTATAAGCAAGAGTTTTACAGATGCTCGCTCGCGCACACGCGCACACAGAGCAAGAGTAAACTACACTAGCATTTTTCTTTTTTTGGGGCTTGAAGAGTTATAGCATTTGAGACCCATATTACATTGATTTATATCCTTAAAAGGCAATCATTATTACTTTATATAGTCCTCATGACATCAAGATCGGAATTCTTAGTTCAGAGAAATTGATTTCTAGTGGTCTCATGTTAGGGACCCTTTTGCATCTATGCACCATTATCTTTCCCTTCCAGATAATACATTGAAGACTGAATCAACGAAATATGTTGCGCGACCTTAACGATAATTTACTCAAAGGGAAAGAAGTGGAGGTTACCCCTGCGGCTTTGACGAAGCTCTCAGCAATGCGATTGAGAAGAGGGTGGCCAAGGTCAAAGAAACCGCCTTTGTCAAAGCTTCGAAGCTCATCCAGCAAAGACCGTGTTTCCAAGTTACTGCTCATCTTGCTAAGCCTTCTTGATGTTCACAAGCGAAATTCTCTGATACCAGACAAAATGCTCTTGCCAGTACTCTTTGATCAGAGAAACAAGAAAGGGGAAAGAGTGTAAAAGGCTGGGGAAGATGAAGAAAAGAACGGACGACCAGGGCTCGCATTGAGGACGCGTGTGTTTGGGTAATAACACGTGGCTGTTCCAAAATGACGCTGATGCGAAATTCCCGATTACTCAGTTGCAACGGACTCGCCACATGTGTAACGGTCTCAGGGAAGTTGTCAAAATCTGCTGATCTGGATCCTTCTTTTGTTTTTCGCGCGTTTAAAACATTATACAGCTCGCCTTTAATCTAACGTTTAATCAACTAATTAGAAGAGAATTAAAAAAAAAAATTAAATAATTTAAATAAATTAAAAATATTAATTAAATTAGTTCATTAATATTTTTTAACTAATAGAATTAATTTTAAAAAATTAATAAATATATAAAATAAATTTTACGTCAACTCTCAAATTAAATCTACTAAATTAAATGGGTATTATAATTTTTTAAAAGCATACAAGAAAGAAACGTTAATTTTAATAGAATAAATTATAATCTTCCCTCACTTCGCCATTGCCGCGTTTCTGTTCCTCAAAAATGCAGTGCTCACTTTCACTCCCTTTCTTCCCTAGCTCCTCTGCTCCCTCCCCCATTTTCAGGTCATACCTCGTCTCCAACTCTGTTCCTCTCACTGCAGCTACGCCTTTAAATCTTCGATTCTGCGGTTTAAGGCGCGAGGCATTTGGTCTTACCTCGCTCAAACGCTACGATGCGCACCAGAGAATCCAGCTTTCTCGCTGTAGAGTTCCCAAGAAATTTTCTGCTGCCTGGTTCAACAATGGCAGTCCTCCAAAGTCATTCGATTACGATTTGTTGATTATTGGAGCTGGCGTTGGTGGCCACGGGGCGGCGCTTCATGCCGTTGACAAGGTACTCTGACTGTTTTGCATTAATTGATGCAGTGGCTGCACTGGTGATTGCCAATTGTGGTTTCAGTCGAAGTAGATAGTACATAATAATTAAACATACATTTCGAGTTTAAAGTTTGATTTGGCAATTACTAGATACATTTTTGTTCGTTGCTAATGTTTTGATGGAGTGCAGCTTGGATCACGTAGAACTATTTTAAATTCCTGTGTTAAATGACGTTCTGTGGAGTTGACATACGAGGAATTTTTATGTTGTTTTTGCTGTTAGTATTGGTTGAGCCATTTGTTTGATATAGAAAAATATATACATATATATATAGATATGTATATGTGAGTAACTTGGATGTGTATATAAGGGCGTTTTCCCAGAAACCTGGGTGTTTCCTACAATTTAAGGTCCTGTTTCTTCTATGTGATTTTTTCAGTACGAAATTTTTGTACCTGGATGCTTATTATTACTTTAGTGAATATAGTTAATTTGTGTCTTGTAAGGTAAAAGAAAGTGTGCCTTTTCTGCACTAGGCGTGCATAACAGGCAGTAAGAATATATGTCTTTAGATTTATGTCTCTGAGAGAATTAAAAATAACACAGTGACTGCAGGGCTTGAAAACAGCCATTGTAGAGGGAGATGCGATGGGAGGGACATGTGTAAACAGAGGTTGCGTTCCTTCTAAAGCTCTTTTGGCTGTAAGTGGACGTATGCGGGAACTACAAAATGATCATCACTTAAAGTCCCTGGGCTTGCAGGTGAGAAAATTTTCTAACGGAGTGTGTATTTATATTAAGCTCTGAAGCAATTGCTATGATTATTGCTGTAACAGGTAATACAAGAGGAGTAATACTAAAGATTCCTCATTGTGGTGAGAGATTTGGTCCCTTCGTTGATTTCCTTTTTGGGCTTTTTCTTATTTTAGGTTTCTGCTGCTGGATACGACAGACAAGCTGTTGCTGACCATGCTAGTAATCTTGCTTTGAAAATTCGTGGTAATATGACCGATTCATTAAAAGCGCTTGGAGTAGATATACTCACAGGTTTTGGAACCATTTTGGTAGGTGACATGTTATGATGTGTGGGAGAATGAACTATTTACTTACCATCAAAAGCTTAACTTTAGACTTTTGATCATGAAATTGGAAAGAAATTTGAAACATTTCCTTTTGCCATCTTGATGAATTGATGCAGGGACCTCATAAGGTGAGAGTTGGCTCTTCCAACAACATAGTAACAGCACAAGATATAATAATTGCAACTGGTTCGGTCCCTTACGTTCCTGAGGGCATTGAAGTTGATGGTACAAATCATCTTTTCTCTTCCACCTGAAAGAAACTGATATATTGCTCAATTTATTAGTTCGCTGGCCCTTTATATTTATCATGAGGAGCCCTTCTCAGACACCGTATGCCAAACAAAACTGTGATTTCTGCTTATATTCTTTATAAAAATATTAATGATTAATTACCTGCAGGGAAGACTGTGATTACCAGTGACCACGCACTCAAACTGGAGTTTGTTCCTGACTGGATAGCAATTATAGGAAGCGGTTATATTGGACTTGAATTTAGTGATGTGTATACAGCTCTTGGAAGTGAGGTATTTATGATACTCGATTGTGCCCTCCCCATTAGGTTATCTTCATGGGAAATAATTGCAAATGATTGATGATTGATTCTAGGTGTTATTTTTATGGCAAAAAAATTTATTCCACCGTTGAAATGTATGCTTTTTTATAATATCTAATAATACAAGAAATATTGTTTTTCATTTGCGAAATGAAGCCATTGCAGAAGAAATATAGTAAGGAATGACGGGATTCTGCAGGTTACTTTTATCGAAGCTTTAGATCAACTTATGCCAGGACTTGATCCTGATATCAACAAGTTGGCTCAGAGGGTTCTCGTAACCCAGAGGAAAATTGACTATCATACTGGAGTTGTTGCATCCAAGGTAACCATACCTTTAGATGCTTGAATAAATATCTGCTGGATGGCTATTTTGACAAGCTGCATCCCTTTTTCCCCCTCTTTTCCTGCAGATCACTCCTGCTAGGGATGGAAATCTAGTCTTCATTGAACTCATTGATGCAAAAACCAAGGAACCAAAGGATACCTTGGAGGTAACTTGATTCTTGTAGTCTTAACAATACCGCTTGGTTTCAAATTTTCTACTTACAACAGAGGAAAATTCTAGAAATTGTTCAATGCTAAAACTAGACACGCATGTGTGAGCACTGTCACAGTATGAGGGGAAAAACAACCACTTACAAAATTACGTAGGTTCAATCTTTGCAATTACTTTCAGATGCTTTTATAGGACGCTTTCAATGCAGCGTATGATAAACTGAGTGCACGTAACTGAGAGAGGCAAGCAATTCAACTCCCACTGACTGATGCATAGGTTGGTTCTGCTCCTCAACCCCTCTCCCCTCATAGTAAAAATAATAGCAACGACAGCAACACTTTTGATGACGCAATTGGTCTTGCTAAGCTCAAGAGACTTGCGGCTTCCGTTTTCTTACCGGACCTAGTAATATTGTTTGAAGTCCTTTTTTTTTTTTTTTCGTTTACAGTTCATAAACATCTATAGCACCAGGTCTTGCAAGTGTGAACAGTTTTCAGTCACAAAACACTGACAAATATTATCTTTATACCTTTTTGTCACGTATTCAAATTCATTGACTTGGACTCATCTCAAGTTATTATGTTACATTGCTTCAGGTGGATGCTGCACTAATAGCAACTGGAAGGGCTCCATTCACTAGCGGTCTTGGCTTAGAGAATGTATGTCTATCCAGTGGCTGCCAAGTGTAAATTTTTCCCCAAATGAAGTAATTGTATAATTGACATTTTTTTTTTCCAGATTAATGTTACAACTTATCGTGGTTTTGTTCCTGTGGATGAGCGGATGCGAGTAATTGATACATGTGGCAATCTGGTTTGTTTCAAAGTTCTCTCTTGCACAACCATACGTCGTTGGCTTAGATTTTTTGTTACTGAAATAAAATATGGAATGATAGGTCCCGCATTTGTATTGTATTGGTGATGCAAATGGCAAGTTGATGCTCGCTCATGCTGCCAGTGCACAAGGAATTTCAGGTAAGTGGAAAACTATAAATTACTAATATTGGAGTCTTTTGCTTCCATTTTTACGAATGAAAAATTTCTGACAGTGGTTGAACAAATCACCGGAAGAGATCATGTGCTCAATCACTTGAGTATTCCAGCCGCTTGTTTCACTCATCCTGAAATAAGCATGGTTGGATTGACGGAGGTACCATATATCTGAACCTTCTTGTGTCTTGTGCTTTATTCTCCACTGTATACCATTAACATTTTTTTAAAATTCTTTGATTTCACTCTGCAGTTAACCAATCCCTCTTCACTTCTGCTCTCCCAACCCTTTTTTTCTTTATATATTCTAGTTATATTTTTAAATATCTCCTATTGGTCGTTCAATCAATGAACTCATGAATTGTGACCAAACATGTAAAATTTTCAGCCTCAAGCAAGGGAGAAAGCTGCAAAAGAGGGTTTTGAAGTGAGTGTCTCCAAAACAAGTTTTAAAGCTAACACGAAAGCCCTAGCAGAAAACGAAGGGGAGGGACTTGCCAAGGTTATATTTCTGCTTCTTTATCCTTCAAAGTTATTCATCCACAGGAGATTGTGAGTGTTGAGTGAATGAGTTCCTTGCATAATAGTTGCTCGGGTGGTATGGGGAAGTTATTTGGGTTTGACAGCTGGGTCCCTGATTTACTTGTTCAATAACACTTTTATCCTCCCACTGATTGCATTTATTTACTTGGTAGTTGGTTCCCACAGCCTTTACGGGTTACTCTTTACACTGTTTTTCATACAGTTGATATACAGACCTGACACTGGAGAGATACTAGGAGTTCATATTTTCGGGCTGCATGCTGCGGATCTCATCCACGAAGCATCCAATGCAATAGCATCAGGGACACGTATTCAGGTAAAATTCTGTGTGCGCTTTGCGTTTCATTATAAACAACCGCTTGAGTTCAGCTGGCACTAAGTTTTTCTTTTCTCGTCCATGTTCGTCAAAAAATGTACTTTATTAGCAGACAAAGCAGTCCTTTTCTGTCAAGTAAATTTCACATTTTTGTGGTATAATACAGGACATAAAGTTTGCGGTCCATGCACATCCAACTCTGTCTGAGGTGGTTGACGAACTATTTAAATCAGCAAAGGTGAGCTTTCCAAAAGAACACCTTGAGAATAATCATATTGAACAAAACCACTGCCGCCCACCGATTATTTTGATCTAGATGGTAAGATAGCCTGCTACGAGATAAGCATCGACATGTTAGTGGTTGTTCACTAAACTAGCAAACAACTTGGTCGTAGTTTTCTGTTTGATTTAAACTTGGGAGAATTACAATGCGGTTCAAAAAAAATTATTAAAAAATCTCAATAACATTTAAATAGTCTTCTGAAACTTGTTTTGTAATTTATTTTCCTTCTCTAGAACCTTAATGTAACTCACCCTTTAAACTTCCTGGACAGAATAGTCAAAACGCTAACGAATGCACACAAACGTACAGGTAAACATAGCTACTTTATTTTGTTAGACGCATTAATATGTGCCCTCTTGAATTTCTGAGGCAGGTTAAAGAACAATCTTCCAGCCCGGCATGGGAACCAGTTGCTGTCTAGTCCTATGAGAGACCAGAGTGTAAGTTTTAGACTAAATTAGCTTGTATTATTGTGAGCTGCCAAGATTTTCCAATCATGTAAGTAGGAAACTTCGAGGGGAGCCCGCCAACAGTCCAAAAATTGACGAGCGCAAACCATTTCTTGCATTTACATCGTTGTCAGATCTATTTTACATTCTTTCTTTCTTTCTTTTTTTTTTTTTTTTTGCTTTCGATGAATTTTTTTAGATGAAATGTGATACGGTGATCCAAAATTTAGATGGTTAAAAAATATGTCCAAGTCACTTTCAATTTCTCTTCGATAAGCCACTACTGATTTTATTTCCGTACATTTATAAAAATAATCGAGCGCACGAACGTTACGGCACACAAGAATTTCATACAAGTGGGAAACCAATTTGCAGCTACAATAGCACAAGAATTCCACATAAACTTATGCATATATTATCCTATATGTGGTCATTCTAATATTCAATCGAACCAGATTCCTCATTCAATTGCTTAACAAAGCTGGTGAAAACCATATTTTACAAACCGTAGGCTGGAATGAAAGCATGAAAATCTTAAATATAGTGTATCGGCTTGGCGTGAAAAGGCATGCTCTAACGATTAACAACAAAACATACTCTAAAAAAATATTTGGATAAAATTAAAACTATAATTTCAAAAGTGCTTTTATTATATATGAAATAAACATGTGAAGGAATTTATCTCGATTTGCTAAAAATACATATTAGGATAACCAAACAACCCCTAGTTCTTTGGCCGCATGTTTCAATAAAATTCGAGGTCTCTGCTCATTTAAACCCAAAAACATGCTAGGAGTGGAATGATAACCATTTTGCTCCTTCATGAATTCATTAACAGAATCAAAAAACTAGAACCTTTTGTATCAGGATCTTTCACATAGACCAGCAAGAATTCAACAAGAGCATACTAGTCAAGTTAAATTAAACACAAAAAATACCATCAAATAATTCAAAAAGATATTCCAAGCTATCCCAGAAATCCTATAGTTTCGTCTGAAAGTGGGCGATTTACTCTTCCTCAGTGGCTGCTTCAGCACTCTTGTTATTGTGTTTCCTCGCGTACCTCTGGTTTCTCAGGAACTTGGGATCCATCTACATGAAATTCCAATTAAAAGAAATTAAACTATAGATTAAACAACAACAAAAACAAGAGAATCAACACAGATCGCCAGGGATTAGGAAATGTGAATACCCCTTTGGTAGAAGTGTGGCGGTGCCTCTTAGGCTTTTTGATGCCATTCTTGTGGGCTTTGTATGACTGGTTGTGAGCTGTGTGGTTCTTCGACTTCGCCATCGCTGTGATCAAAACAAACAAAACGAAAAGAAAAATTAAGCGGTGATAAACACAAGTAAGAGCATAAAGAATATGCAACAGAGCTAATACAGACCCTAGAGCAAGGTGAACGGGGGACTTCGGATCTTCTAGGGTTTCCGGCGGAACAGAGAATCGGGGCTTGAGATGTTTGGCCGTTATATATGACCGTGAAAAGAAGCCCTAAGGCATTTGTCCACTCAATGACGATAATACCCTTGGTGGAGATCCATTCCATCATCAATGACGGAAAGGACCTGGGTTTGCATTCTTAACAAGGCCCAAATTTGAAAATTTGAAGGATAAAAAAAAATTTAATTAAAATATGAAATAAATTTATAATTATACCATTCATTGTAACACGTTAGAAAATAGTGCGACTTAGACTAGTCAAATGCCTCATTCTAATAAAAATGACAAGTATATGAATTAAGTTTGGCAAATAAAAATGATAAGCATGGTGTACGATATTTACAAGTACACTTATATTATAAAATTGACAAGTATATGAATTATGTTTGGAAAATAAAAATGACAAGCATACTGTAATATATATATATATATAAATACGCTTATAAAAATGACAATTAATACATATATTTTTCAGGCCAAAGAAATTAATAAATTTTTTGAACATTTTTAGCACATCAGAAGGTTAATTCTTGAAATTAAAACGTATCTTTAACATTTCTAACTGTGTTAGGAAGTCAGATTAGCGTAAGCTCCCGCATTAAAAAAAGGGGTGTAAGTTTCCAAGACAGAGAGAGAAGCTCCGGTGAAGGCAAAGTCGAAAGTTGAATATTTTACTAGACTCTAAATCATTGGACTTAGTTTTAGTATTGAGTCTTTTTTTTTTTTTTTAAAAAAAAAAAAAAGACTTAGTTTGCTTATTGCTTGCCTTAGGCCTCTGGCAGGAGAATTTGTGTACTCATGTTTGTTTTTTTTTTTTGGGCAATAAAATCATATTAAAAAATGACATGTCATCTTATATTGATGTGGTCTGATGTGAACATAAAAGATAAAAATAACCGAGTTATGTAAATTAAAAAAATTAATTAAAATGATTAAAGAAAATAAATATATGATAAATATTGTCTCAAAATAATCTTATTTGTGGAGAAAGGAAAAAATGAGTAAGGAAAAAAAGAGTATGTCTAGTAATTTTCTTTTTTTTGGGCTTAAAGCATGTCTAGTTAATTAGTGTATTGACATAACAAGTAGGAAAAATTTACCCAAAAAATACCCGTTAAATTTTTAAAAAATAAATAGATCATGTTGACTACTCTTATAATAGTTTTAACTACTTTTATAATGGTGTTAATATTAATAAGTTAAAATTACCTATTTGTTGTTTTCAAATTCAACACATATTTGTTTTGTCATTTTTTTTTGACAAATAAACAATAGGCCTATTGCTCCAAAGAAAATAAACAATAGACTTAAAAATTAAAAAAAAACTAATTAAAATTTCAGACATATTTAAGTGTATTTTATAAATAGAATCATGCCTATATAAAATATGTAATTTTTTTTAATAAAATATGTATGACGCATATTGGATAAGAGGGAGTATTAAATAAAATTAGGATATACCCTAACTCGATTGATTCATTCCAAATTATTACTCAGTATATGTTTGAAAAAATATTACCTTCCATTCTTGGCTATTACTCCCCTATGACGCGTACCCACCAATGGAATGTGCACATCTGGATTTTGCATCACAAACCGGTTCTTCCGGTTAACCATATCAGGGTTCCCGTTCCCAACTTAAGGGTTTCGGGGCATTTTAGCTATTGTATCTGCCGCACTGGCCACCAGTTCCACTGGCCACGCCGGTAATCAGTACTCAGGCATGCGGTCACACCACCCATTAAATACATATATTTGAAAGCACTTGCAAGAAAAGAACCCTAAACCGAAAGATTCATTTTTTTTTCCTTGTAATTTTCGGCTTCTTGTTTCCTTGGTCTCTCGGTGGATTCTTCTTTCTTTTGCCCCATCGCTTTGTCCCAATGAGATCTCTCTGAATTTTATCTTTTTGTTTAGCTGGTTGAATTTTGTCGCGGCGGCATCGTTCTCTCTGATTGAAGTGATTTCGGTGAGAACTTTTTGCACTTTTGGTGGGTGAAACTGTGAATTTCGAAGCTTCTCGAAGAAAAAATGTTTCTTGTTGATTGGTTTTACGGAATTCTTGCATCTCTCGGTCTCTGGCAAAAGGAGGCGAAGATCTTATTTTTAGGGCTTGATAATGCTGGAAAGACTACCTTGCTTCACATGCTGAAAGATGAGGTTGTATTTTATTGTGTAATTATTGTTAATTTATGGTTTTTCTCGTTTCGAATTGGCTTTATGTTCTTGGTGTTTCCCGCCCACTGAGGACCCTAATTTCGTGCCATGGCTCTTGCACACACGTCTAATTTTGATTCCTTTTTTTTTTATGACTTTTTTGTATTCTCATTCAGGCATCGAAATTAGGGTTGATCTTTTAGTTTTTGCCTCTTTATTTTACAGAGATTAGTTCAGCATCAGCCAACTCAATATCCGACTTCAGAGGAATTGAGTATCGGGAAGATCAAATTTAAGGCCTTTGACTTGGGAGGTCACCAGATTGCTCGCAGAGTCTGGAGAGACTATTATGCTCAGGTGTATTTCTTATCGACTCTGTCAGTCTTTTATTTTCCCGTGTTAAGATAGACGCGAGTACTCTTGTCCTAGCTCCTATCTCCTGACTGTTTAACACTGTTTGGGATTGATGCCTTTGTCGGATTAGCATTAGAATGAATATTAAATATGAATGTATGTTGTTTGCATAGATTGGTTCATCTGAGCTTGTCTTTCTGCTGTTTCTAGGATTTATTACCTGTTATCACAATTACTTCAAATGTCTGGGCAAGAGCCATTGTTAGTTGCCATTTTCAATCAATCACCCCCCCTTCTTTTTTCTTGGGCTCACTATGCCTGCAGGCAATAGCTGTCACACGTAACATGAGGATCTTAATTACCATTTTATCTTTTATTTGACTTGTTTGTTAGAATTGATGTCTTTTTTTCTGAGTAAAAATGGGGGGATATCATCACTCAGTGAATCAAGTGATCCCGTTTTCCAGATATTGATCTCTTTTATTAGTATTTGATGCTGTTCTATGTTCTCAATCTCTATGCGTGGCATTTTGGCAGCTTATATGATGCTCTCAACCTCCTTTGATATCTGTATGTGTACAATGGCAGTTACTTATCGTCATTTTTGACTTTTTCTATCATGTAGGTTGATGCTGTGGTCTACCTTGTGGATGCCTTCGATAAGGAAAGGTTTGCCGAATCAAAGAGGGAGCTAGATGCCCTTCTCTCTGATGAGTCCTTAGCAAATGTACCTTTCCTTATATTGGGAAATAAGATTGACTTGCCTTATGCTGCCTCAGAGGACGAGCTTCGATATCATATGGGGCTCACAAACTTCACCACAGGCAAGGGCAAGGTCAACTTGGCAGACTCCAATGTCCGTCCTCTGGAGGTTTTCATGTGCAGTATCGTGCGTAAGATGGGCTATGGGGAAGGGTTCAGGTGGCTCTCTCAGTACATCAAATAGGATAGTGAATAGAGTTAGATAATAAGTGTGGTCGGAGCAGTTAATTATGATGATGGTTCTGCTGATGCAATCTTTTACTCTGTTCTTGTATTGATGTAAATTGGATATGTTGAATGTTAGTTTTACTTTTGAGACTCGCATATTTCTGTTGGGAAATTTTGTGTAGGCTTGGTTAAGCTTGTGCTGTATGCAAGTTTATATATTGGTCACCAAAATGGCAGAACTAATAGTAGGGTGACGCTGGCTTTCATGTTCACCCAAATGTTATCCTTATCCTTGATTATCAATTTCCAATGTTAAATAATGAATCAGCGCAGAAAAAAATAATTTGCTGTGAAGCGGATTCCAAAATTATTTTCCCTCCCTGCCAAATAACGAGGTTTTCATTATTGGTGGAACTACTTTGTCTTGTCACCAACAAAGTTGATCCAATTAATTATAAGTTGAGAAAGTTAGGAAGTCGTGATTTGTGGGTTTAAATCTCGCTGAGAATATTTATTTCGTAGAAGAGGCATCATAATTTGGTAAATTAACAAAAAACGCATATAAATTAAGAAAAATTTATGGACACTATTCAATATATGTCCTCAAATTTTAACGGGACTATGAAACTGCTCAGCGAATTGATTCTACTACTATCATTTTTCTTTGGTTAGTATTGTTGGGTTGAATTTTAACAGAATTACGAGCAACTATTGAAACAGGGCATTTTACGGTTTAACCCAGTTACTCATAATTATGGTGTTCAAACGTTGCTAAATGCTAAGTGTGTTTTTTTCGGAGGAAAACATGTATCTGTATCTTAATCTCAAAATCAGTTCCATGATTAACTGCGCCTTTAATAAGTTAATACCCGTTGGGTAAAAAAAAAAAAAAAAAGTACCCATTGCCAGTGGCTCATTGTGGAAAAATATCGTAAACACGCCTCCAGCAAAGTAAAGCAAATATGACCTTGCGATATACCACTATGCTTTTATATACAAGTCACTTGCACCCGCTTTTGTCAAGAAAATTGATAAAATTTTTCACACTTGTCCCTATTAAAGAAAGCTTATTAAAAAAATATGTTTCACATTTTTTTATTATATTAATAAAGGTCAAATTTAAAAAAAAAAAAAGTCATTAATTATCCTACAAGTGGTAGGAGACAGGGAAGCTAGACGCCTTCTAGATTTCAGAAAGTTCAAACCCGCAATGTTTGACCACTTGACCTCAAACTCTCTGGTCAAAGTTGAAACACAAATAGAAAATTAACGTACACACACACAGAGTGACCCAACAACCTCAAGCAATGAGCAACTTCATGGCCAAACCGCAGCTTGGTGGTGCCCATATAAACGTACCATGTCCATGAACCAATATCCATAACTGCTAGCTAAGCAATATCTTCCATTATCTTCTCAATTTTCTTCTTCGAAACAACACATAATCACAATGGGAGTTTTCACCTTCTCCGAAGAGAGCATTTCCGCTGTTGCTCCTGCCACACTCTACAAAGCTCTGGTCTTTGATGGCGACAACCTCATCCCTAAGGTTGTAGACGCCATTCAGAGCGTTGAGATCCTCGAAGGCACTGGTGCCGCCGGAACCATCAAGAAGATCAACTACCTCGAAGGTCCCTTTTCTTTTTCTGTTTCTATGTCACTGAATAATTTAGTTTGAATCTGTTTAAGAATGTTTGGTTTTGAGAGATTTTAATGAGAAATGTGGTATTATGTGTACGTACAGATGGACAGTTGCACTACGCGAAGCACAAGGTGGAAGCAGTAGACAAGGACAACCTGGTATACAACTACACCTTAGTGGAGAGCGACACTTTCCCTGAGACTTTGGAGAAGATCGCGGTCGAGACCAAGTTGGCGGTCGCCCCTAACGGCGGATCCGTCGTGAAGGTGACCGTCAACTACGTGACGAAGGGAGACGCTAAGCCCAGCGAAGAAGAGCTCAAGATTGGGAAGCAGAAGGGAGATGGACTCTTCAAGGCCGTTGAGGCTTACGTCTTGGCCAATCCTTCTTACAACTGAAAGCTTTTCAGACAACGTTGGATAATAATAACAATGTGATCTGATCAGCCCCAGAGAACTAATAAGACTAGCTCTCATTATAATTTGCGGAGTTTATAGTTTATGTTCTGGTTTACTTGCATACGGTTTCATTCTTCTGATCCTCATTAAGCTCAGTGAGTCATATGTAATGGCTGGGAATTGAGATTCCCTTTTTGCTCCGAACTATGAATATATTCATTTTATGTTTTAGTAAAGTTTGCGCCTCTTATTTTGTCTATTTCAAAAGCTATTTATTGATTGTTTTTCCGTGAGGTGCTATATCATAGAAAAGCCAACAACGTTTAGTGTAAATTCTTAACATGACTAAAGAAGGAAATTGGTATTCTTCTCCTATCAAAATGGGAAGATTTTGAAAATCATTGTCACACGTAAATGGAGGATTATAACTTTGCCTTCCTTCCAAAACTTTCCTTCTTGATGCAGAAAATTTGAAAAAATGTAGCCGTTGGGATTTTAAGAGTAGTTCCATTCCTTGTCAATACAAATACCCTCTTCTCTCAAGCAAATGAGAGATCAAAATCTCTGAAAGATTTTCTCTCTATCAATTCAGAGACTAGAAAGATACTGTGGAAATCTTTTTGGTGTGCCTGAGATTTTCTCTTGGATTATTATCTTTATTCCTCTCTCTTTAGAAGATTTTTGAGATCATGATTTCAGGTCGGTGTGCAGCTTGTAAGAATCAAAGAAGAAAGTGTCCTTCCGATTGCATTTTCTCTCCCTATTTTCCTCCCAATGATCCTGAAAGATTTGCTTGTGTTCATAGAATATATGGTAGCAGTAACGTTGGAAAAATGCTTCAGGTAACTGCTAAATGAATAATTAATTTCAATATCAATCCATTTAGTAGCTAAAATAATACAATAGCGCATAAAAAGTAGAAACAAATAACTTGACTGTCTCTTATAATAAGAATCAAGTTTTCCTCTTTTTTCCCCCCTTTTCTTTTTCACCGTGATTTCCATTCGTTTCAATATCATGACGTAACTAGCAAGTATGTGATGCAAAAACTAAATTAGATTTACTTATTTTGATATTCATTAACATATTTTTGAAATTATAATATTTGCAGCAGATCCCAGTGCACATGCGAGCACAAGCAGTGGATACCTTATATTTTGAAGCAAGATGCAGGATAGAAGATCCTGTGTATGGTTGCGTTAAGCTTATATCTCAGTTGCATCAGAACTTACATGATACAGAAAGCGAACTAGCCAGAGTTCAAGCTCTTATTGCATTCCACAAGCTTCAAATCACACAAGTTGAACTTCATCAACCCACCTTGGATGCATCACAGAGCAGCATCGAGCAGTTTCAGAATCCTTGGTTTATTAATTAGGATTTGTCTTCTTACGTATGAGCGGAAGGCGTTTCTCTTTTCTTAAATGTTGATCTGTTCGATGGAATTAACTTCAATGTCACCATGGGATTTTATATCTTAATAAATATTTGGAGCCCTGGTCCAAAAAAAATAATTTGGAGCAGTGTTTTCAAATTTCTTACATGGAGAAAAATACTAACACGCATTATTATTAGTATACACTCCTTCAATTCTAAATATAAAACCCACTTTGTAATATAAATTACGCTATAAAGTATATCTTATATTTAAGACCGGTGGTGTATATTGCCAATCATCTTTCAAGATCAAGCAATAAATAATTTTCTCTGGGATCACAAGAAATTTGTTTAGCGTACTACCATAATTATCTGTTCTCTCAATAATAACATGGAATAAGCAATGCGCTTGGGCTGCAGTGCAATAACAAAATTCAGGAACTCTGCGCTCTTAACAGTGAATCTCACTACTACTTAAAAGAGAAAAAATTTCGCTCCTAATTTTTTTCTTATTTTATTTCTCTCTCAAGTGTGGGCATGATGGTTTCTTTTCTTAAAAAATGTCGACCTGACTAGAATTTTCGTAATGCTTGCCCTATGACTTGTAAAGCTCCAAAGATGACCCGTTCAAAGATATTAAAGCAATTTGAAGGGGCCAAAATTTGAAAAGCTACTCTAGGATTTAACAATATCTACAAAATGTACAACCAAGGCACCAACAACCATTCATAGATTATTCATTTGTTGGTTGTATCCATACAATATGAGCCTTTTTTCTGGGGTTGTCTTTGTATCATCCTATGCCAGCACTCCCATATCCACCTCAGAATTAAGGAGGTCTTCATATTCTAGTTCCAGCTGCACATCGCAATTCCCTAATTTAATATATATAAATAAGCAAAATGAGACCTATCAGTAAAGGTCACTAGGATAAGTAACTTGCCTTTGCTTGATTATGGGCTAGTTTCATCCTCCTGTAATCTACTTGCGCTTTCTTAGAGCGGAACATAGCTTGAACACGTACTACAGCTCTCTCAACACGTTCTTCAGCTTGTTTCCTGCCAGTCCGGAAAAAGTCCTCCTCCGTAACAAACCCTGTTTCCTCCTTCTGACTTGCTGCTTCTTGGACAGGATTTACTTGTAGGCCACGGAAACCCCGTCTCTTTAAACGCCACCGCAGGATTGCTTTCTCAACCACTCCAACAGACCAGATAATTTTGCGGTAGTTCTGTCGCTCCTTGAAGGCCCGGAAAGCAGCCTGCAATGGAACATAGGTGATCAGTCTTTTCCTGGATGTCGCTTAATAAAAGTATGAGGTCATTTCAGCTCATAAGATCTGCCGGTATCATCTCTGGAAGTCTGAAAATGTAATGTTCCCTTTTGTTGCTAGATTTGATTTAAGAGTCAGGTGAGGACCAACTCCTGCTTTGGTCTCCTGACATCAATGATTTTCATATAATTGTTTTATCATGAGATATTATCTTGATGATCATGCATGTCAAATTTCAGATAAATGTGTTCACAAGTTGAATTCAGAAAGTAAATCATTGAAGATATATGACACTGAACCAATTAATACCATAGCACAGAAGTTCCAACAGCGCTTACATTAGGAAAGCATTTTGTTAAATGATAGATTTTGCAAGAGTCCAATATAAGGTTATTGAATATATATATATATATATATATATATATATATATAAGGCCATCTCTCTCCCCCTTAAAAGACATAACAAATGCAAGGCTGTTTAATTCAAGCTTTTAGAAATTCATGTTTTGATAAAGAACCAAAATGCTCTTGCATTTCTTGTGCCTTCCACAGAGAAGCAAGGTTGTCAGGGTCCATCATTAGATGTGGAGGATTCTAACCTCCGCACAGACTCAGCATTATCACGAACACAATTACACAAACACTTCCCCTAGCACCAGCATTTCCACGCCGTAGTGACTAGATAAGCAGATGGGAAAACCTTTAAAAGGTCAACATAGCAGCCCTTCACAGGATATGCCATATTTCAACATCTGCTGTAAATTTTTTTTTTTTTTTGGTTGGCAATATCTCCATTTTAGTGATAGAACAGAATAGAAAGCTTCTTTGCAAACAAGTTGACATGAATTACTCCGCCGGAGGAAAAATGGTTTTTTGGAGCTTAGATCTACATTCTAAAACACTTGAATCAGCACGGCTGCACCATAACTTAGTCATGCTGTCATCAGTACCAACTGATAACAATCTACCGTGTGAATTTTGATTAGATCAAACTCAAACAAAGGACTTGGATTCGCAATGGGACACATTTAAGCAGCAATCAGTCCTATCAGAGGCAGAATGGTAGCACTAACCTGAATTTTGATTGCTTGGCGACGCATATTGAGAAATTGTCTACGCATCTTCCATGTACGAAAGGTATGCTGGATGTGAGCAGCAGCTGCCATAGACTTCCTCGACTCAAAGTTTCGAAAAGCATGCTGGATCTTCATTGCTGCAACTATTTGGCGTGCTTCAGCCTCTGGACTGAAAAGTTCAACTGCATGAGATCGTAATTTTAGTGAGTGCTCCCTAAATGCAGCTTGTATGCGTGCTGCAGCCTCAGCAGCAGTCCGATAAGCTGCTAATGTATCCTTCATATACAGCTGATCCTCACTGAGCTTCTCAGAATTTACTGGATCCCTTGTGCTGGTAGTTTCCAGCGAGCCACTGATATTCCCCGCTATGCTCATTTCATTGAACTGCTCAACCAGAGACTTTTCCGAAAGATAAGCTGCTAAGCCACTATAACCCTTCCCCTGAGCCAGATCAGCAGCAGTAAATCCACCAGGATGTTGAGGAGTAGGATCCGTGACCAAGTTTGGCCTTGCACCCGCAGATAATAGAGCAGCAACCATTTTCTCCCTGTAAACACATTTCAAATTAAATAAGTAGCTTATCCAAGTTCATCAATAGCGAAGCCACAACAAAAGAAAGAACTTTTCAATCAGTTCAGTGGCTGCAAAACTGTTCTAAAAAGTGCGTATGAAACACTGTACCTTCCATAATAAGCTGCCCAGTGAAGGGCTGTCCACCCAAATTTATCACGGAAATCCAATGAAAAACCAGACCATGAAAATAATGAAACGACCCATGTATATCCCAAAATCGAGCACAAATGGATTACGCCTTGTCCTTGGGCATCAACTTCAGTAGTCTGGCAACCTAAAATAATTCTCTCCAAGAGCCATTCCTTTAGTCTAGTCTTCAATGCAATTTCAAACAAGGCATCTTTTGCTTGTGGAAATGGAATTTTGCGGTCTTCAGTAGACTTAATCAAGTATTGCCAACTTTTGGAAATATATGATGTCTTGGAGACAAATTTCTTAGCCTCCTTCAGCGCATCAGGTAATACTTTACTAGAGGTAATGTCAAGACTCTTTTGTGTAGCAAAGAGCAAATAAGCAAGTCTCATCTGAAGTCGAAACTCCTCCCCGTTGTGCCTGTCTTCCATGGAAGCTGCAGGGTCTTGCAAAACAGTAGTACGATACTCAAAATTAACAACTTGACTTATGGGCTTGTGGCCATCAATACTCATATAGAGATTCACAAAACCAGGGGAATGTGGTGGCACCCAGCATCGGTACACACCAACTTGAACAATTTCTGCGGGAACAGGTACATCCCCACAGATACAAAACAGATTGGACTTTGCAAGGTGCACATAATCATCATGAAAAAATCCCGTTATTAGGACCTGGAACAAGCAAACGAAGGTAAGAAATTCTATTAGAAGTGGCAAAACACGAAATAGTAAATATTTAAATTATCAACATCAACTATTTATGGTCTAAAGCGATATGTGACAACTTATTTAGATGAAGATGTGCATGTATAATGCCAAGGATTGCAACTCCTATTTCTCATTGGATTTTAGCCCTATACTTTTAAGCTTCAAGGATCGACAAGCATATTTTATTGTCTCAACAAAAAGCTCAATATGGACTAAGCAGAAAAATGATAGGCACTAGGAAAAAATCTACATGTACAATATCTGATAGACACTAGCTATCAGATACTTGAGAATCGCAATAGCAAACCTTTGTTTTCTCAGCAGAGCACGCCCAGACAGGAGACACATCAGTGATATTAAATAATTGTTCTGGCAGAGAAGATTGATGATTATCCAACCCTGAAGAGTATGAATCATGAACAGATGAAACTGAGGATTCAAGACCTGAGTCATCAATAGAAGATGGTGAATCAGCCATCATATTGTTTATCCATTTTCCAAAGCTGTCCTGGCTTTGCAGAGTGTCATTGATGATATTTCCCACAAAATCACCACCACCCATGGTGCTAGAATGTCCACTCTGTGCATTTGAATTTAACTGATTGGTGGCTGTCTGAAGATTCAAACTTTCAGAAAAATTGTATTGAGCACTATTGTTCCCATCAATTGAATTGTTCAGAATATCAAAAGAATGAATTTCCGCAGATTGATTGTTGACCACCTAGTGAGAAGATAAATCTATAGGTTACAAAAGAAAGCATCAATTGAAAAGAAAGAAAGCATGAAATCAACAGGATATGAACAGGAAGCTTGAAAAGCAAAAGGTAGTAATTCTAATTGTGACTAGATCAAAAGTTGTGACATCTGCATATCAGTTTGCTGAGACCTGTGCACAGATCTGCCTGGTTAGCATGCTGGCAAATCTTGTCATCATAATGCCCATTCTACTATTTACCACATAAGTAATGTGAACAGGGTAAGTAGTAAACAACTCCCCACCGATTTGCAGATAAATCTGCAAAACCCCGCATAGGAGGAAGACTTAACAAGCATCCAAGGTTCAACGTATTTGGTTTATCATCTTCCTTGAAACATTAAGTGGTCAGGGAGCCCAGAAAAAGGGCAGTTTCCTCAAGATTAAGTGCTTCATCAAAACCCAAGTTACTGCAGACCAAAAGTTATTAATTTGAATAGTAAATGCATATTGATACACCGTATATACAATTACCTTCAATTTTTTGTGTCAAATATACAATTATTCTATCATTAATGGCTTCACATAATAAGCATATATCAACTATGATCTCATATTGATATATATATATATATATATATATAGGGAGGGAGGGAGGGAGGGAGGGAACTTTTAATCCCTCAAGTTTGCCTCAATTATCAATTTAGCCCCTGAAATTTAATCTTCATCAATCAAGTCCCTAAAGTTTATAACAAAACACAATTAGTCCCTATGATGTTATCTTCCCTTTAGGCTATAAAGACTTATGGTGTATGGTTATGAAACTTTAGGGACTTGATTGATAAATATTAAATTCCAGGGACTGAATTAATGATTGATGCAAACTTGAGGGACCAAAAGTTTCATTATCCCACATATAAACATGGAAGAAAATAAAGCAGCCACATGCTGGATGCTACATGCCCGGACATCAATCAAATCTGATGTCAGTGAAATATTATAAAGTCCTCCGTTTTAATATATATTGTCAAATTAAAAGGTAAAATAGGTTCTAACAAGAAGTTCCAAAAGACTAATTGCCCCTGAACGTCAATGAAGAATACAATATAGAACAATATAGTGAGGTTATTGAGAAAACCATTGTCTCCTTACCCTGCTTGAATTTCCATTCAGTAAAATTTGTTTTTCTTGATGAAGAAATGGAACCTTTCCTGCAAAGTATTAAATTTGAAATTTTAAGATGATAGGGTGATTTCCAGACTAGATATCGGTTCTGCTGGAAAGCACAATAGATTACCTTCAGTCGGAGTGGAAGTAGTAGAGGTGTTAAGATCATTTGTAACCACTAGGTCATCCCATTCAAGTGTATTAATCTCATGAAGCCTCAGTTCGTGACTTTTAACAGTTGAATTGTCATTCAGCTCTGTCTCAAACACAGGAAAAACTGGGGAGATGAGGATACATAGCTAATAAAGTAAATAAAAGTACCGGACCCATGACAACAGTCACCAGATGTTAACCTACTATGACTATATTTAGCATCCTAAACAAAACTGAACTTTATGATCTTATCTTTAGCTTCCTATGGGAAAGGCGGGAAAAAGTTAAAAGGAGAAGGGTGAAATAGGCACTACAATGAATCGGTAAATGAAACTAGTCTTCATGCATTGTATATGTTAATTCCTCTTACAATATCCAGCCATAAAACCTTAAGATTTAAGCAATAAAAGTATCAAAGCATGTTGCAGAGAATTGTAATAAGCCAGTTGCATAGATGGTTTCCAACAGTACATAGAATATCATCTTAAAGTTCTCACCACCAGTGCATGCCTTGTCGATCCCAGAATCCAATTCTTCTGGTATTACCCATGGTGTTGTTGGATCAGAGGGAGAACTAGCATTTGAATATACAGGTGTGGCTGGAGAACCTTGTGACTGTGCCATAGACCACACTACAATGGTTAGAATGTCATATTGTGCTTGTCCAACAGATTAAATGGTAGAGCACAAATAGCAAAGAAGTACGAATTTTAAGCTAAACATAAAGATGCGTTAGATATCTTACACAAAAACCCAAAAAAAAAGTGACAAAACCCCAGCACCAGCTAGATATCAGTACAACAATATGCAGCTGCCCGCTGGTCAAGAGCATGTTACAGGCAGCTACATTTTCTATTAGGGTATAAAATGAACAGCATGAAGAAAATTAAATCCCAACAACTAGGTTGGTTGAAGTATCAGAGAAAGTGGGGTTGGGAGATCTTTAAGAGGATGGTGTAAGAAGGAGATAGGAAAGACAACCCACTCAATTGAAGATTTATTTAATGAAACAATGAATGGGATCCGATTACCTCTTGATTGGACACTACAAAGTCATTAATGGCGTAGATTGCATTTGAAGGGTGAAATTTCCAATAACATGTTTGTGATATTGGTCCTTCTAAAAAATAGGCAAGGGAGGACAGTGAGGTGAACTAAAAATGGAAATGAGAAGGAAAAAAATATTATAAAGAACCCAACCCCACTCAATTTGGAGTGAATTAAAAATTGGAGGGTGGGATGCATTATGATGGCTTCCCATCTAATCAATAGGCAAGATACACAATTCATTCCACTCGATCATGCCCTGCTCCCAAAGCATCCTCCCAAATAGAAAGAAAATATGCTTATCATAAATGACATAAGTAAAGCAGCACCATAAGACAGCCAACGTCTAAACATTTCAAATCACATCAACGTGCCTAAAAGGTTTGGATTGCATATTAATACATGGCGATCTGAGAACAAGCTTTCCAACTGTCATGCTCCCAAGAGTCCAGGACATTAGGACAACCATGGCCTCAAATGAGTAGCCTGAGTTCTCTCAGTAATACTTGGTAAAAATATACTCATCATTTAAACCCCCTCCAAATGATATGGGACTTGGGTAACACATCCACCCACTGAATTGCATAACATGATCATTAGGTCCAACAGATGGCTACCGGCCAGATAATTTCACCAGAGTCTAGCAAGGGAGGAAGAGTCCAACTAACCCAAATAATTATATAACATCATCTGATCCCCTCTATATAATGGGGAACCTGGGGTAACACGGTCGCCCTGACTGACTTACCTAACATGCTAATCCAGCCTAACAGCATTAAGGTCTACCACATCATGGGTCTCAATACTCTTCCAGACATTATGGGATCCTTGAAGCTTTGGAGCCATGTGTTCCTTCATTGTTGCCTCCATAATGGTGATCAAATTCTCACATTCTTCTTCAGCTTTCTTGGTCTGCATATCTCAAACCACAAATTCTGGCTTGTGATGGTTCCATGGCCATTTTATAATACCCCATGCCCAATCAGTCCGACATTGTTGACAAAGGCTCAAGCAAATGGTTAGGACAGTTATCATAATAATTAGACCTTAGGGTATACCATCATCTAATTTGAAGTGTATACTGTATACAGTGACAAGTAGTCTGAAAAGCATGCTGTGTCCTTATATGGCATGATACCGTTAAACTGGGGTACTTTGGAGTAAAGCTTATAGACAGGGAAGGCACAAGTCACCAATTTTGTCACATAATAGATGCAGCAATTGCTGCAAATTTTCCAACACAGGCAAATGAAGGGACAAAGGCCCCTGTCATGTTTCTCTATCAAATCTGCCTTTAGTTTGCTAGCATTAAGTCCGAAGTTTGCTCGGTACTTCAATTTATGGTAAAATGCTTCTTCTTTACCAGACTTTCTCTGTTAATCACATATTCATATACTACTATATTTCGAATGTTTTGCAATATATATAACTTTCTGTACACGTGCTATTTTCTAAAAGTTGTCATACCCCATGTTCATACCATATTACCAAAAAACAAAAACAAAAAACAAAAAAAAAAAACTTTTATCCACACCAATGCAATCTCGATTGTGAGCTCCACACTTTTCAACAAAAGAAATCGAAAATGTGATTATCAATGTGAGAAATGTAGTTTATAAATGCAATTTTCCATGTAATCAGACATGCTTGAAAACTCCCTTCCTGACCTAAGGATTACTAACTAATTACTTTGATCTGAGTAGGAAAAAATATATGGCCCTTCTTTTAGACAAGCAACAACATAAGCTACAACTTAATCAGATCTTGTACAGTGAAAAGAGAATTTAGAAGGAAAACAGAAGAGGGAAAAAGCAAAACCTCATGTATTTCACGATAATGAACAAGGACAATATGCTCCAGACTCCTGAAATAAATAAGCATCATTACCGAATCAGATTCAGCAGTATCATGCATACATCACAGATTGGAAATGAGGTTTAAGAGTTCAGCTAACTATAGTTACACATACTTATCAAGCAACCAATAACATCTGCGGACAAAGTGTGGGTTTTCTTCACCATGTGCGTAGTATACATGGATCCTTTCTTCATTACCAACCTGATTGACGGGGAAAAAAATGAATGACCAGAAGGAGTGTCAAAAACCAGATACTGCGACATCAAATTCACGTGAACAAACATATACACCCTAAGAACATGAGAATTCTCACTTTTAAGTGCTCGTGAGCTTCTTTAACAGTTTTCCCATCCTTTTTCTTTTTCCAATTGTGGCCATCTTTACGAAAGTTCCTAAGCTTCTTCCTGTCAAATAATACAATAGTACCACCTGGTGTGCAGAGAAAAAGAACAGAACATCATAATCCGAAAAGAAAAAAATACTTCTCAGATTTATATTAATCATAATATATGAAAAGGCTGTGAATGAATTATGTCACATGTCATTTGTAGTATACTGGTTCACTCATAATGTACATCACAACAAGATTCGCAAATCTCTAATCTTACAAGTTTACCCTTTTCTCTATTTGTTAAGTACTGCTTAGATAAGAATTCACAGATTTGAAAGTTTATAGTTTTGTTAAAAAGATCATCTGAAGCAAGAATGCCATGCTTTAAGCTTTTATATTGGCATGGAAGATGCGCTGTAGAAACTGAAAAGCAGAAATGGATGAGATAAGAAACAGTCTGCGTAATTTTTTTTTTGAAAAAACAAACACTGCATCTCTTTTCTTCATTATGACTCTTTAAAACTCAAGGACACGAGTGCAAGCTTGTAGAACAGATCTTGTTCAAGGTCGTGGAATAACTGCACATCAACTTTACTAGCATCAAGTTGTTGCCAATAGCAATAGATAATTACTTCTCGGCAAAGTCACTGGCTTGACATGGATGGTAAAATGTTTGTAATTGCAGAGTATGGCATGAATCTCATTGGGTCGAAGCCATCTGCGTCTTGCTTCCTCCATAATGATTCCAACATCCAACTCTGGGCCGCATAATAGACTATTTCAGTACATAAGTCGACAAAGATTATTCACAATATGCATTAATCATCGCTAAATATCTGGTCGCCAAAATAAGATTCGCAAGGGGCCAACAAATAGCAAAAGAAGGGCACCGTGAAAACACAAATTATCAGCTTTCTTCCTTCCCCATAGTAAAGCGTGAGTGTTTTATACTAAACTACCTTATTGAATCAAAAGCTAAGACTACTTATTCAAATGGATGACGTCAAATATACAAAGATTCCAATATTTCTTCCCGTCGTTACATTCCTTTTTAACATTGCTTAACCAAAACTAAAATCGTATGATATGTAATATGATTCACCAAACGTTAGGATCAAAACAAGTAAAATGATAAATTTTCCAGCTTTGTGTTATGCCATTTCAAGCATCGAAATTTCAACTCTGCCATCACCTGAGAGAAAGACAGTAGCGGGAGAGAGAACAAGATGAAACCGTTCAAATACATACATACCCTGCATTGTATGGAATCCATGTATCTCTGAGCCCAAGAGCTGCCCCGTTAAGTTGTTTGCCATCATACAAACCTCCGACAGATTCCGAATTCCCCGTCAGAGCTTAATCAAAAACTGCACAGCTCTATCTGAGAATCTTGTGCCAGAATTAAAGAACAGAATCGAAAATTATAATAAAGATTGAATAACAATCGACGTACCGAGAATACGTTTAGTGTGGTCAAAAATAAAGATTATGATTAGTGAAACTGAGATTAAACCGCCAGAAGAGTTGAAAGAGCCCTCAGAAAAAGAAGAAAAGAGTGAGGAATTTAGCTGATGGAGGAGAAGGGTTTAGTCGGATTGGAATCAGGAAGAAGAAACAGTAAGAAGGGCCCGTCGTCGGGCTGAACAACACTCTGTTCTGATCCTTTCTCAATTTCCAAAGTCAGGGAAAATATAGACAAACCAAGGAGGCCTCAATTCTCTTTCTAACTGACTTTTCTTGCATTGCGACTGACTGACCAATAATAATGCTCTAAAATAAATTATAATGTTACTTTAATATTTATTTATTATTTATTTATATTGTCCTTTTTTCCCAGTATTTATTATAATTATCAATAATCAATCTTTTTTTTTTTCGCCAACCATCAATAATCACTGGTCCTCTAATAAGTTACTCCTTCCGTCCTAAATATAGGATCCTTTTATAGGACCGGAAGAGTATTAAAATGCACTTGCAAAACGTATTTGGTCCGAAAAAAGAGTCCTATAGCAAGCCATGTGCTCTGCAAAAGGCCTGGATCCCCTAGAATAATCACCACCTCGTATGTATCGAACTTCGAAATCTCGCATTTTTGCACTGATCTTGAAAATAATTGATACAAGCAGGGCCACGAGGTGACATTTTATAGGAAAACTAATTTAAAAAATCTTATTTAAAAATTTGATTAATTAAAAAACCTGATACACTTTTATAGATAAAAATTACCCGTATTTTACTGAGTTAATACACGGAAAATACTGAACTTGAATTTATATTCTTCTAATTAATAAAAATTTTAAAAGGAAACTTTTAACGATTTGTTTTTATTTTATTTGATGCCAGATATATAATATATTTATAACTACTAATTATCCTTAAATTGTGGAAGATCACAAGAATTATTGTAGCTAACAGGAGTCTGAGTGTAATAATTCTTTTCGTTTTAAAGGTCAAGTTGTAGCTAACACTACTTGTTGAATTGAATTAGTACTTTAATGCCTTCAATTCATGTAGTGTTTTGATCAATTTATAGATTCTTTTGATTTATTCTTAAGATTGTTTCATACTTATCAATTTATAAAATAAAATCACTTAAAATGTTTAAATTGCGTACTTTCTTGACCACTAGGACAATGATACATTGATATTACATGGCATTATTTTATTTTTTTGATGAAGATTATTATTGTTATTATTGTTATTATTATATTATAAGAATAATTCAGACGTTCCCCTTTTTTGGTTCAAAGTTAGTCCGTCATATTTCTGGCATGTTTATTTTATTTCTTTTGCCAATTTCCACGACACATTTTGGGCATATGGTAATTGTACATCGTTGAGGCAGAGATATGTGCGCACTATAAAAAAAAGCGTATAGAACATTAGCATCACATGGTGGGTTTATTAGAAAAAAGTTTTTTTTTTCATATATGTATTTATAATTTCTTAGCTTTGCGCGGCAGCAGTCCATGAGGTCCCCCCCTTCTAACAACAGGCACGGATCGTGCCCTTTTTTTTCCCAAAGTAGCAATAGATAGCAACCCATGAATTCAAGGACACTAAAAAATTTAGTCTTATTATAAATAATTATTTTTCATTTTACAAAATAAAAATCCCTTTTATGGTGTAAAACTATTTAAAATAAATTCATCCAAACTAACAATATTCACTTCAAATTTGATAGTTAAATACGAGATTTTCACGTGTATTAGCCTATCAATATATATATACACATATATACACACACACATGCGCAGTCTTGTATTTATAAATCTCGCTTTCTGATATTGTGAAGTTCCCTAGCATGGAGCTGATGTATTGGGAATTACAATCTTAAACACAGGTGTTAACCCTAACAAATGATTGGGAAATCATGTGCAAAGTAGGTAATCATGTGCCGAAACAAAAAGTACGTTGTATAAATTTATATTTTTTTTCCTCCAAAATATTCATATGAAGCATAAGAACCCACTAAAAAGTACTAGTAGTTTCAATATACATAATTAAAGAGAATAATTTAAAAAATTAATATATATTTATTAGAAATGATTAACTTAATAAATTTTTTTAAATATTTGTAAATTAATTATTTAACTCTTTTATAAATATCTAAGTGAGGTAATATATGGGCTAGCTTGAAGCGGATACTACCTCCTGTCCTTAATATAAGATTTTGTTTGATTTTTATTTTGGTCATAAATATAAAATGCCAATCCATTTTGTCTCTCATATTTATGTATTTTTTTTCAAAATAATTCTTGTAACAATGATAGTTCTAACTAATACAATTCCTTAATAAGAATATTTTAGAAAAGACAACACCCATTTATTGCAAATAACTAACTTAACGTCTTTTTTTAACCTCCTCAAATGAGTCAACTAGTTCTTATAATTAGGATCGGAGGTAGTACTCGGTAATCAGCGGTTTGATATGTGGGATGCGACGGAGGACCCCTGACACACAAAAAATAAAAATAAAATGTGCCTCAGTGAGAATGACCTGCACAAATGGAATACATATATATATGTATGTATGTATGTATAAAACAAACATACGAGGGTGAAAAAGGGAGAAAAAATGCAAATGTTTAGGAAATAATAATATGAGTAATACAGAGCGGAGACAAAAGAAATAGCATTCACCCCGGACAAAATAAGTGTTAATATCATAAAGATAACTAGTACAACAGGGGTTGGTCCAAGTGGTAAGCGGCTTGGTACCGCTTAAGTAAGGTTTCGAGTTCGAGTCTCAGCGTATGCATAAATTCCTGTTAGAAGACTCACCCACCACAGCCAGGTGCGCGATGCGGGTCGGATCCAGATGTTGTCGGAGCAAAGCTCCGGTGAACTGGGTGGGCAACCAAAAAAAAATATCCATCACTTGATTCCTAGGTGTCTAACACACATTAGATGTAACCCCCCCGTTTCATAATATAAGATGTGGGTTAGAAGAAAATTATAGTCTGAAATACTCTTCCGATCCTTAATATAAGATCCATTTAACTAATTTGATTAGATTAAGGAAGTTAGGTAGGTTAGTTAATTATAAAAAAAAGTGACACATTTTTTCTAAAACACTATAATCATCCTTCTTAATATCCCATCTCCCTATTCTACTTGATTATGGTTGAGGGAATATCCATGTGGGTAATTTAGAGAAAATTAATAAATATGAGAAATGGATCTCATATTTAGAACCAAAACCAACTCAAAAATTGGGTTCTATATTAAGGACCGGAGGAATATAATATAAGACCTTATTAGAACAATTAATATAATTTTTTTCATTTTCACCCTTATTAAATATAGGAAAGAGATGATAAATGATAAAAATGTAACATTAAAGATAACTTTATCATTTTTTTAACGGTAAAATAGGGAAACTTTATTATCTCAAGATATATGCAATGCTTAAACTTTTATTTATTGGTGTGCCAGAAAAGTTAACCAATTTCTTATGTTATACTTTTCTGGTCTTATTTATAAATCACTTTCAACATATTTCACATAAACCAAGAAAAACTTTAAACTTCGTTAACTTTCATTTGAAATTTAACAACTTTTCAATTTCATCCCTATTTAATATACACTATAACTCATGTAAATAAAATCAACACAATAATAAATAAAAGGTAAAATTGTATGTCCGTATAAAAAATTTCTCTCAATACCCTATAAATAGGATAAGAAAATGTCTTCTCTCTCTATCCCATAAATAAAACTAAAGGAGTAGACTAAAGGGAGTATGATAGCTTCACATGGAGTTATCATTAAAGGATTAATGATAAATGCTACTGGAATCAACACACATATATTATTACTCATGTACGAGGAGGTCAAGGTCACCGAATATGAACAGCATGTGCAATAATCTTGAAAATATAAATGTTACACCCCCCATATTAAATATAAGTCATTTTCAAATGCTTATTTTTGGAATCATCAAGCAGACAGATACATATGCGTGTCCGCGCGCGCGCATGTATATTAATTATGTTTTTAGCATCAAGTCATTGGACATTCAAAGGTAACCTTAATCAGTTTAGACATCCGAGTTGGGAAGGACCAAAAAATCACAGAACTCTTTTAATAGATCCGGTCCTAATTATAAAAGTCAGTTAACTAATTCGAGGAGATTAAAAAAGTAAGTTGAATTAGTTATTTGTCCTAAATATGTGTTGTCTTTCATAAAATATCATTATTAATCAAGTGTATTGATTAGAATTATCATTGTTAGAAGGACTACTTTGGAAAAAATATATATAAATATGAGAGACAAAATGGATTAGGATCTTATATTTAAGACCAAAATAAAAGTCAAACAGGATCTTATATTAAAGAATGGAGGTAGTATTTAACATTAAATCACATGTAATTGTTGCTTATATATTCCTCCGGTCTTTAATATAAGACATATTTAATTAAAAGAGTATTCAAATACTCTTTTTTTCGTTACTTGATTATGGTTAAGGAAGTATTTATAGAGATAATTTTAAAAAAATTAATAAATATAAAAAATAAGTCTTATATTTATTATTAAAATTAATTTAAAAATTAGGTTAGGCGTTTGAAACGGAACCGTTACATTTATCATATGACAAAACTCGTTTTTTTCCCCCTTTTGGGGGGGGGTGTCTTATCATCGGTCCCGTGGTCGCACTAATCCTGACGTTGTCTTATTATCTATCTTCATCACTATTTTTCAAAGACCGACCGAAAAGGTCCGCACCGATGGATCGATAACGTCAACTCAATGAAAAAGAGAAATGATACTAAAAACTTGTTTCAGATTCTTTTTAACTTGTGTTTTGGATTTTAGGAAGAATTATAATGAGATCTTAAAAAAATTGTAAAACAAATCTCAAAAGTTATCAGTTTTCATTCTAAAACTTGTTATTATTAATTGTTTAAATTGTTATTAAAAATTTTTTTAGTAATTATTTCTCTTTCTTAAATCTTGACTGTAATTCTCTCTTTTTTTTTAACTGTTAGTTAAGTGCAACATAACATCACTTTTTTCTAGAAATCTTGTCTTATTTTCGTATCACACATGACTCATCCTTTTAAAAGCATTAGGAAAAAAAAATCTCCCACTAAAAATTTTATTAATGAGGAGAATTTGATAAATTTTTATGTAGAGCATTGGTACTCTAATTTGAATCGTTCTTAGTGA